CATAGAAACGTCCTTGAACGTCAGGTGCGACTACTCAGTGACTTCTGACTTTTCAAAGTCAAACACATAAATACCCGAGTGTGTGCTGCAATGATGAATCTCCTCCGCGCTGAGTGTAATGAGAGTGAGGATGAACTCTTCTTGATTTTTTTTCCCTGTGACCTGTTTACTAGATTATTTAAAGGAATACTCCCGTGTTTTTAAACTAATGTTTATCTGCTGCATCCATAGCGTATGACCGGTTTCCACAGACAAGAATTTGGAGGCATTTTCCTGAACTAAATAAAGGAAACAGGAAAACTTATTCACTCAAGAAGCACCTGCAATAGAAGCCAAAGGGAACCTGATTCAGTAGCAGCCCACTGGCTTATATCCCACAGCTGTCTGCAAAAGTTTAGATCAAGTTACATGTTTTATTGATTTTCTAATTGAAAATAAGTTAGCACATCCTGTACAAGAAATCAACCTTAAATATGTCATTTTCTGCTATTTTTAGATCATAATTTCTATTTATATAGACATATTGGAAAAGAATAAAACATATTACATGTACCAAAACATTTTCACAGGCCACATTTTGTGTTTTACTTTTGCCCCTAATATGTTAAATTCAGCAAATAAACAGCAATTGTGCATTAAAATGAGCAGAAGTGTGTTCTCTATAGAGGAAGTGTTAATTTATTCCTTATTTTACTTAGAAAAACATCATTGGACTAGTGGTGCCCAAACTTATGCAGTGTTTTTGCAGTGTTTTTTTTCCACTAGCCAGCGGGCTGGTGCTGAAGTGGCCTCGCTGGGCTGGATGTGATCTTGTAATGAGAATTTTTGGGTTAAATGTAAGTAGACTTATTAGTTTAGAAGTGTGAAACTTCTAAACCAGCCCAATGTCTCATTAAAGCAGAGTGTGACGGTGCCCTCGCCAACACTGTCCAATGGAGAACAAGCCTGTCGTTAGCATGTGAATGTGAAGTAAGTTAGCAGGGCTGCAATTACATGCAGTAATAATAAACGTCACCTCCTGCATGGGAAAACAGTTCTACTAGCTAACAAATAGCATTTCCTCAGCCAGCTTGTTTTGCTTGTTATTGATTGTACTCTGGGTGTTAAAATAGCCTGAACGAGAGGAATTTGGGGGGCAGGTTTTAGAGGGGGCATACTCATCTTTGTGGTGGATTTTGTCACAACACAGCATCAGAGGTTTACAAAGTTGTCCCCAGACAAGTATTCATGTTTTGAAATCACGTCTGGCCCCACAAGACAAGTGCTGAAGTAGGTTCCCACTGGCGTCTATTATCAGTGTGTTTTGAGTCAACTCACTTTCTGTTCCCTTGTTCAGAGAGATGTGTTGAAATTACTGTTGCAATTATTAGCTGTATATGCCAGACGCGGCAGACAGATGCTGAGAAATTCTGGAGTTCTCCTTTAAAAACACATTTTGCTAAATCTCATTTGTCTTTTAAATAGCAAAAGGACTTTAATCTTCCTAATAGATTCTGATTCCATATTGAGCTCCGTAAATACCCACAGCAGGAGATGGGCATCATTAAAAAACACAGCATCTGTCATTGTTTCTGCAATTTCTAAGCTGCGTCAGTATGTATATACAGAGCCTGTAAAGCTTCAGTGATGTCACACTGTTAAACCAGGTCTGCTGAAGGAGCTGAGGGATGTTAGCTGATTTATCTTTACCAATCATTTAATTGTTGTTATTGTTCTTTTTTACAGTGAATATCAATTGTACTTATTGTGTCTTTTCCAACTTGTTAGCAAATCTCAGAAAAACTCAATATAGTGATATACAGTGTGTTAAGTATCACAGCATTACATTTTTTGCCACATCATCCAGCCCATATAGTTTCTTTTGCAAATGGCACTTAGTCAATGTCACTGCTCTGCTTTAGAAGGTGCACTGCAGCATCCTGTCGTTCCTTGATTGGTTGTTTTGGCATTTCACGAAGCTCATCTAGAGATACACAGTGACACAGTACTGCAACTACTCTATTGTGTATGGAAGTTCATTCCTGCCAGCTGGAGGAGAAATAATGCTGCTGTTCTTTCTCCATCTCTGTCAAACATTTTGACTTAGTATCTTGAAATAAGTTATTTTCTCAAAATATTAACTCGAAGTTTCGCTAAATGACTTATTTTCTTAGAAAACAGACTTAATATTTCAAAACAAGGACTTATATATAATAAATCCTCTTTTGTATTTCCCTTTTCCTCAAGTGGCATCTTAATGACTTGCCTGCTTAAAAGTCAATATTCAGAAGACAAAAAGGCAATATTTAAATAAAAAAGTCATTTGAAGACATTAAGTCAGTATTTTGAGAAAATAAGTCAAGATAATTTATTATTTCAAGACAGTAAGAAAAATGTTGACATTCTGATGCTGGAAATCACTGATTTTTTCAAGCCCTAGCACTGGCGTAGTATGTGTGACTGAATGAGAAAACTACAAAAAAACAAGCGAAGATGCAGCATTTGTTCTGGCTTTAACTTCTTTCTCTTTAAGGGGGGACATTTCTAGGTTGAATCAGCCATTAAGAGGCTGTTCTTATTGACACACACACAGACACACAGACACACACACACACACACACACAGAGCCATCTGTGTGAGGACAGGAGGGCATGTTTCACACCATGGGTCACACCGTGAAGTGTCAAAGGAGCACTGCCTGTCTGTCTCTCTATTCCTCTCCTGGCTGGATTATCACTGCCAGCAGGAATCACTGCAACAACCCCCTCCTGACATAATGTAAAAACACACAGACCGACTCAAACCAGCCTCAACAAAAAAAGAAAACTGATTAATTATACTGAATATAATACTATTTCCCTGTTCAGCAAATTGGTAAACATGACCCATTTTGCTTGTCATTTGTTTTTGTTTTTCAGGAAAACAGAGCAGCTGCCAGCGTGTAGAGTTCAGTTTAGGACTGAGTACTTAAAGTGGTCGGAAATGGAAAAGTGGGTTTTCACACAATGAATATACTTGATTCAAATGTACATCATTTCCACAGAAATCCTACACTGCATCAACACATTTAGTGCCGAAAAAGTGTGAGAGCTGAAAGACAAAGCTGCGTTGATAAATTGTGACCTTGTGTGGAAATGAAGTACATCTGAATTGAGTAAATGCAGTACATCATTTTTTGTAGTGTTATAGTGTAGTTTTAATGGCTTGATTAAATGTATGCCTATCATACAGCTCTAGAAAGAGCATTTATAGTGGTGTCACAAACACACACACACAGTGAGATATTCTCCTGTCAGTCTACACAGCCTGTCTGAAAAGTACACCCTTCCACAACACACACCTCAACAGATCAGCTACGTGATACTTCAGACAAAGTGAAGGAAGTAAAATTTCCACCAAAACGTGGCCTACGTGACAGACGAGTATCAGTTACTAGCTAGTCCTGATAGTCTGCTTAAGGTCTTTTAACTAGTATAAGCTCTCCAAACTGCTTTGCAAAGGTCAAACACAGTATTGTGTAAAAGTCAGAGATCACCCTTCATTTATTTAGCTTCTAGTCAAAACAGTCATTAATCACGAGTGACTCATTTTTCAGGACATATTTCTGAGTAGAGCAGATAATCCACTTACATAAGGAAGGAGAAGCTCAAAATTGGAAAAAAAACCCATGAATTTCCAAAACTGGAGTTCAAAAAAAATGATTAAAAGATATGGAGAAAATGAGACAACTAAGAACTGTGCAAGAGCTGGCAGACCACCAAAACTGTCACCATCTTTCATTTTGGAGAGAGAAAATCAAGCTCCACTCTTGCTTCAGATCTGAAAAAATCCACATCTGTTTCTGCTCATCCTTCCACTGTGAGAAGACAACTCAGCACTATGGGTCTGAAAGGATGTATAGCTGTCAAAAAACTCTTACTGAGAAAAAAACAAACAAAAAAGAAGGAAATTTCAAATCAAATAAAGAAGCTGCTGGTGTTCTCAGAACAATGGACTGACCACCTCAGAGTCCAGACCTCAACATCACTGAATGTGTTTGGGATTAACTGGAAGGTAAGAAGCAGGAAATGCAACCAACTTCTAAGACTGAACTTCGGAGGTGTGAAAAATATACCTGCAGATTAAAAAACTGAAAATAAGCTTTAAGCTGTGGAAGCTGTAATAAAGGCAAAGAGTGGACACACCAAATACTGGAAACTGTGATGTTTAGTTTTTAAGGGTCCTCTTAAAGGCAGTTTTGCCTGGCAATTAACTAAATGAAGGACAGTCTCTGACCTTTGCACAGCACTGTAGGTCACACAATTAAACTGACCTCTTGTGTCCCTGAAGTTTCATGTGTGACATAAAGTTAAGATCAGATTGACTTTGAGAAAATGATTGTGTGAAATCAACTCTTGGAATTGACTCCGTCAACTCCCATCAGCTGGAACTGGAATTGACTCCAAAATGTCTGGAATTGAACAGCCCCAAAACACACACACACACACATACGCACACACATACACACACACACACACACGTATGCACACACATACACAGTGAGAGGTTATCAGACAGTGTCTTTGTGTCTGAACGCTCACACCATGGTGGCCTCTTGTCACAGGACTAGCATGATGAAAAATTCAGTGTGGATCATCTGGTGCAGTAGGGCACAACATGTATGCAGATGCTCTCACACACACTCACACACACACACACACACACACACACACACACACACACACACACACACACACACACACCTGGCAGACAGAAGAGTGCTGGGTCTGAGATCACACACACTGTGTCTGTGTGAGTGAGACGGCGCTGAAAATTTCATGAGAGGCATCAATTAATAAGCTGCTGCTTTCAGAACACTGAGCCTTTTCTCTTAAACACCACCCTGACTCTCACTACACTCAGCACACACTTCAAATCCAGCGCTCGAAAGAATCGAACAGTTACTACAGCACTGACCCTGCCAAGTCCTCTTTATCCACACGGTGAATACAAACCCTTCAGATATTTAGCTTAGCAACAGCAAGAAACACTCTTTTTCAGAGAGGGGGGGACTGCACAGTTTAGCGTTTTCCCTGCTCTAATAGTGCTTCTCCAGGGTGTAGAACACAGAACTGTGGCTAGCATACTTAATTGAGTAATTTCCTTTATTAATACTTTTGACTGTACTCAAGTAAATGATCACTACAGTAACAGTACTTTTAATTAAGTAGGGATTTTCAGTAGTCTTTCCACCACTGGAAATGGAGCAACCACAAAACTGTGGCTAGTGTAACTATGGAAATGGAGCTAACATAACTATGAAAACAGAGTAGCATAAGCATGAATATGGGGGAGGGGGTAGCGTAACGACAAAAATGAAGGTAGCATAACCATGGAAATGAAGCAGAGTAACCACCGAAACAGGAGCAGCACAACTATGGAAATGGATGTAGCTCACAGATCCATATATCAATGATGGGTTCTACTTTGGATGGATTTTTATTCATCATTCCATTTTATCATCTACATTGTCAGCTGACCAGCAATTTTTCTCTGACTAAAGCCAGGGTGGCGGGGGGTGGGGACAAGAACCGGATATTGAAACATCATATCTGTCCTGTCCCCGGGGAAACTACACTGATGATGATTATCAACTTTGGGTTATGGTAGCTGGAAAAAAGCATAGAAGTTTTGACAATGTCTTTTCCTTAAAATCTCAAAACTAATTCTAACTTGGAAGCAGTGTGCAACAGCACTTAGCCAAGCAGCTAAGCTGCTCTAATATTGCCTTCAATGGCACTGATTTCAATGATCAATGTGTGAATGGACAACAGATTCCAGCTTAGGCAATAACTCTCCGCTGTCCGCTGGAACATACTGTTAATGACGTAATCTCGCGTCAGCTAATAAGGGACAATTCTGCTGAAAATGGTCGTTACCAAGGTGGAGCTCAGAGATAAGTCCAGTCTGCTTCCTGGACTGGTTTATTGTGTGTGCTCACACATCTCTTTTGCTTGCTTCTGTGAAGAACAGCATCAACTTTGTTTTTTCCATATTTTTCTTCTTAACGGATACTAACATGCCTTTGTGAATGCAGTCTAATATATCTGGTTCAGCTCTGGAAAGGACTGTATCAACTGAAGGAAAACGATTTTGGATTCCAGAATCTCAGACCATTTCCTCCTACACTGATTTGCTGGGAGCCCCTCCTATCATTAGTGGGAAAGACACCTTGGTAAATCCATCCTGTTGGCTCTCATCTTTTGCCTTTCTTCTAAATGTGAAGACTCACATTCACTGGTGTAAATAAATAGACCTGCTCCACTGAACTGAGGTCTGCTTGGCCATTGGGTGAAAAAATTTGTGATATTTTCAGATTTTAGAAAGCTAAATGGCTGTCGTTCATACGCTGTTCCATTCTTGCCACTGCAGTACATTATTCTCGTCACTAAACTGTGACTTTGGCAGAGCTATAATGAGACCAGGGAAAAAATAAACTGTCCAGTGCTGTGGCCTTCCAGGATGGAGAATGACACCCCTTTGTGTGGTGTATATTTACTGTCACTGTCATAAGAGGATATGAATATGCCAACTGCTCTTTTCATAGTATGATCATTTCACAACAAATGGACCAACAGAAATATGGAGAAGCCAGCCTTTCAGGTTTAAGTAAGAGTGACAGATGTTAAGAACTAAGTTAAGTTTCGGAGCTGCAAGCTTTCTGTACGACAGCGACGTCATATATAATACAAAAATATATTTTTGACCTAATAAGTACCTGCAGCGGCCACAGATCATATAAAAATGAGAAACACACAATATCACATTCTGACGACAGTAACAGTACCACATGGTCAGCACTACATGTGATTGACAGTTGCACTTCTACAGAAAAGGCCCAGGGAAGTGGGTCTTGTTCCATCTGATTGTCAGAACACAAGAATGGAGACTGTCCATCAACAGTCTGGACGAATGAGCTGGACTAAGGCGGGGTACAACGACCTTACGATCAGAAGGCACTCAGTAGCGGGCAGGGATAGTGGTGTGGATTTACTGCTATGCACTAGGGTCCAGCTGACATTGTGTAGGTCAGGCAGACATGCCTTACACTTTAGAAATAAAGGCTACTAAGGGGGTTCTTGGTTCGGAAAAGCCTATAATAAAAGCCAAAGTTCTTAACTCTCGTACATCTTGTTTAGAAAACGGTTTTCTGAAGAACCATCCATTGAAAAAGTCTATAGGGAACCAAAAGTAGTTCTTCTATGGCTTCACTCCAAAGAACCCTTTTTGGCACCTTTATTTTTAAGAGTGTAGCTGCGTAAGAAAGGACTAATAAGAGGAAATGGTTCCGCTTCCTCAGGTTCTTCCTTCATCTCTCTCTGGCTTCCTCTTACAGAAAAAAAGATGAAGAGGAGAAAAAGGTTCATCCCTCCTTCATGTTCCTATTTCTCGTCCTCATGAGTGGAAAAGTCGTGCTTTCTCTGGTGTGTGTACGCGGTGCGTATTGAGTTTGGCCAGCTGAGACGGCGAAGGTGGGACGTCCTGTCTGTACGGCCCCTTTGAATCCTGGGATTCATAGTCCTCCCTCAAGGCTTTTCCTCTCACCTCCTGCTCGCGGCGCTTTTGTTCCTGCCGCAGCAGCTCCTGGGCCTCCAATAGCACGCGAGCGTTGTAGCCACCACTCACCGGTGAGGTGGGGATTCCGTTTCTCCAGGCAGGACGGGGTGCGGTGCGGGACCCCTGATAGCTGGAGTAGCGTCCACTGTCTTTAGCTGACTGGAAAGCGTCTCTGGAAGGATGAGCTTTCTCCCATGGGTCCTCACACACACTGGGAGTTTTCCGAGGGTGGCTGAGAGAGAGAGAGTGAGAGAGAGAGGGAGGGAATGAATATCATAGGTATGGTCAGAACTTCTAGAACACTCAGGACAGATTTATAACCTGTAAACTACATTAGTGTACGATACCTGGATAAACTGCATAGTAGCTGATTATCCCACAGTCTTATTCTTAGAGACAGAAACTGATTACACTTTTTATCTCTAATACTGATTTTGAAAACTGGCAAATATGGAGTACTGATTCGATACCAGTGGTATTTTTTTCTTTGTCACTTTAACATCTGCATAGCTCTCTTTGTGGAATTGTTTGGGATCATTCTATCTTGTGTAAGGTGGGCTTACAAGCCAGACTTCAGCCTAGGGCTGCTCGATTATGGCAAAATTCATAATCATGGCTAATTTGGCCAGTACTGAGATCGTGATACTGTGATTATTTAACACGATTACGCATTGATTTTGGAAATATCATGCACGTACTGAAAAAAAATGTCTTTAATGATTTATTTCCCTGATCTTTAAATATAACTTAACTGAATGAATAAATAAATAAATAACATAAATATATACATTTAAATATATAATGCAAAAATAATACTAAATAAACATGAATAAGATCAAAATAAATATGATCAGCTATGTTGTAATGCACTTCAAAAACCTATTGAAAACTACTAAACATATACAAAAATAATAACTAAAAATAAATTAGAGCAAAATAAATTTAATGTGTTTGGGCTTTTAGGGAGGGGTGAAAGCGCACCACTGCGCTGGATTTATAACACAAGACAAAACGAAAGCATCATCGCAAAATGGAATGGGGCACAATAATAGTTTTATCGTGATAATCGTGGTTTGGAAGCCATAATCGTTACTGAAAATAAAATTTAATTAATCACCTGCCCTGCTTTAGCCTATTGGCAGAGAGTCTGGTGCTCTTCACTGCTTAACATGCCCAAAAACCGCCTACCTCGTCAGAAGGCTGTTAGACTGACATACAAAATAAACATTCACAGCCCGCTGTTTAAGGGCGTCATGTAGGGTGTAGTAATTATGAAAATCCCACAGATATATTTTGCTCTAACATGCTTATTTTTCATCACAATGTCCAGTGCAGGCAACTGTTGTCTTTTGCTGATTAGAATTTAACTGTAAAAACAAGACTTTGTTTCACATCTGAATGATAAAAGTGCTGCACTGGGTCAGCCAATCAGAATGCAACTGATAGAATTCTGACAGCTGTGGCCAGGCATCATCACTTTATGACATCACTTTTTGTTCTTTTTTTTTTTTTGACCCAATTTAGTCATGGTCAATTCCGCCCGCTGGCTAGGTTTTCCCCATCACGCAATGCCGCTAAGCTGGGAGGGTGAACGTTAGCATGTGCTTCCTCTGAGACACTGAAAAGACCGATGCGTCTTTTCAAACTGCTGCTAATACATCATCTTGGACAGCTCTACACACTTGGAGAATGCTAAATTCCAATTTTTCAAACAGATGCCCATGTTGGAGAGCAACGTGCTAAGTAATGAGATTGTGGCACTGCTGGGGATGACAGGCTTCTAACAGCAGTCACTGGCTTTCATGGATTCAATTCTTATTTTTATTGTGATGTGCTGATATGGTTTTCACAGATCTATTTCATATTTGTGACTCTGACAGGTGTCTAGCAGCAGTCATTGGTTGTCACTGGTTAATCTCTATACTTCTATCCATTCACAGGCTTAGTTCTTTTTTCTATAGTCACTATTGCATATTCATTGTCACATCTTACTCTTTGTTTATATCACTCCATATTGTTTTGCTATCTGGTGTCAGCCAGAGGAGGATGGGTTCCTCTTTTGAGTCTTGGCTCCTTTCAAAATTTCTTCATCTTATGGAGTTTTTTTCTTGCCACTGTCACCCTTGGCTTGCTCGTCTAGGGCTTGGGTTCTCTGTAAAGCTGCTTCATGATGATGCTCTTTGTGAAAAGCTCTATATAAATAAATCTTGAATTGAACTGATCAAACTTGCGACCTCTTGATGACAGGGCTAAGACACGAGAGCCCCCTACACATCACAAACAAAAAGCAATACTGTAAATACGTAACGTAAGAAACATTATGTGTGAATAAGAAAAGAAATAATATGTGTGACAAAGTAGGCTACTGGATGTTCTGTTTAATAAGATTAGTATTGCTGCTAGTACCAAATCAGCAGAGTTCAGCAGAATACTAGTGAGGGCTGAACACTGAATTTCCTGTGCTAAATGCTTTGTGTTACAATACATAAAGTAACATTTTCAGGATAAATTCATAATACAGCTCTACTGATTGTTCCCTTTAATCTCAGTTCAGGCCTTCATCTCCTCTGTTCTTTATTTCAAGATTTTAAATAAATCATATAAAAGTTATTTGTGTTAAAAGTGAGAATAGTCTTTCATCTCATTATAAGATATATCACAAAAAATGGATAAAAAATTCTGTTTACTTTGATTTAGCTGGGCTTTTTGAAGGCTTTTCCCTCATTTACACATTTAAACTCACACCCAAATATTGCAAATCATATTATAAATGCCAGCTATGCAATTTAGTTAAAGATGTGTGTAAACTCATGTAACGAAACACTCATGAGTCCAGGACAGCATCAACACTCAACTTATGAGTATGTCCACTCCTGAGAAGACTGATCAGTTCAATCAAAAGAGCTTAATAACGCTGAGATTAATGACTGGACTCATCACAGTGATTTATCCGTCTACTCAGGCTTTAGCAGGAAGCCGTTTGTTGAGTTCCTCTTTAAAGTCTAATGAGTGTGTTTGCTACATGCTGTGTGATGATTTGAAAACAGTTAATAAACAAGCACTGGTGGTGTTTCTTTTTAATATTGTTTTTTTTTTTTTGGGTAAGTATTGCAAAAGCATTTCTGTATCCTGAACGCATGTTCTGAATATTCCGTTACATTCCCAACCCTGCAAACCAATATGATGGATTGTGCATTCCTTCTGTATTTTATTTTTACAAATAACTCGATTTTATCTCCAGCCCCCTCTTGAAATCCATTTTCGGCAACATTGAAAAACAATAATATAATACAAAAGACTATTCAGTTTTTCATAGGCTTGTACAATGTGCTGCTCCTGATATGCTGGTGAATTTTGTTTGTTCTGACTTGTTTGCAAATATCAGTAGAACTAAATATTGTGATAGGCAGCATGTATTGTGAGAATGTGTTTGAGTGTGTGATGGTATATTTCTACTATATCATGTGTACTGTACTGTGTATGTGTATTGTATAGCAATGGGAAAACAAGTAGAGCTCCTGGAATTGGGACTGCAGCAGTGCAGAACAAAAATGAGGTGTATTGATTTTCTCTCTGTTCGGCACATACAGTCAACCAGCACACACACACGTATATACACACATACACACTCTTACCGTGGCAGAGAGCTGTACTGTCTCTGTGCCTGTGCGAAGCTGTCTCTCTCTTCCTGTCTCTGTCTCTGCAGCTGCACCTCCACTGACACAGAGTGACGACCGGACTGAGAGTGTGTTCCACCGCTGGTCTGAATATACACACACACACACACCGAATTGAAGAGACACATCTTAAAAGCCACAGACAATGTCTACACATAACACACATACAGTCCTGTGTAAAAGCCAGAGACCACCCTTTATTTCTTTAATCACAGAACAGATACAAGTACAAGTTATTCATTGTTCAGTAGATATAGAGCATGGAAAAGACACTATATAAATAAAAGTGATGATGATGATAATATTTCTCAGGACATTAGATGTAATAAGGATGAGGAACGTTAAAGGAAAATACATTAAAAAAACAAGACTTTCTAAAACTAGAGTTCGCAAAATTACTACAAGATACGGAGAAAAAAGGGCTCCTATCAAGCATTCAAGGCCAGGTAGACCACCCAAAACTCTCACCATCAGATAAACAGAACTTAAAGCTTTCATCTTTGAGAGAGAGGAGAAAATCAAGCTCCACTCTTTCTTCAGATCTGAAAAATCCACAGGTGTTTCTGTTCATCCTTCCACTGTGAGACAACAACTCAATACTATGAGTCTGAAAGGATGTGCAGCTGTCAAGAAGCCTTTACTGAGAAAAGAAATTAGACAAAAAAGGAGCTGCTGGTGTTTTTAGAACAATGGACTGACCACCCCAGAGTCCAGACCTCAACATGACAATGTGTTTGGGATTACTTGGATCATGAGAGGCAAAAAACACAGAAAACCAACTTCTAAGACTGAACTTTGGAGCTGTGGAAAAAATCCCTGCAGATTTCTATGAAAAACTGAAAGCAAGTCTCCTGAAAAGAATGTTAGCTGTAATAAAGGCAAAATGTGGACACACTAAATACTGAAATTTTTGATATCAGATTTTCTGTTAAATATGTTTTGTTTTTTGACTAGAAATAAAATACAAAGTAGTCTCTGATTTTTGCACACAATTGTATGTGATGTGTAACATGACAGGTTTGCACACACAGCATATTTAGCATGCATGCACATTCTGAACAAAAGCACATGCAAAGTTCACTCAAACCACACATGCACACACACTAACCCAACCACTGAAAAACATACAGAAATATCTAACCACTTCCCCCGGACACGCACACACCCACTCCACCCACACACAAGCTTAGCTACTCACCAACACACACAGATACCCAACCACCCACCCACATACCAAACACACAGACATCTGACTCCCACTGACACACAAGCACCAGCCCACCAATACAGGCAGCCCCACTGATACACAATGACTTACCTCGTAGCTACACTTACTGGCCATTTTATTAGAAACACTTTTGTAAGTTCACAGTAATTGACTAAGTCTATTGCTACACAATTTATTTGCCCCTCTACCCCATCCATCAGTGGAAAGGAACCATGATTCCCCACCTTACCTGTGCACCTTACTGGTAAGAGACTACAACTTTTTCCATTTGCGTATTTGTGAGCTTAGTCATGCTTTAGCCATTCGTTTGCTGTCAGTTTTCTGTTGGCTAGACATTTTTCTTTGGCTTACTATTCTCAAACCAGCAGTGTCACTGAGGTGTGTAAAGACCTCAGCCCACCACCTAAGTAATATCTGGTCAGCAGTGGTCCTTTGGGTGGTCCCTTTCCACTGATTGACGGGGTAAAGGGGCTGATGAATTGTGGAAGAACAGATGAGCTGCGGTCAGTAACTCTAAACCTACAAAGTGCGCCAGTGTGGTAGGTTTTTCTGATTAAATGGCCAATGACTGTAGATACAAGGTAGGTAATAAACTGACAATTCAGTGTACACACATACTACTGTGACTCACCCACTAATACACAAAGATGTACAAAAGCCATCTACACACCAACATATATGCACCCAATGATACACACAAAGTCCCAACCAACAGTCCCTCATGATAAGAGATGCTGGTGTATCAGTCTGTTTACTTACCCAACATTTTGTAGACCCACTTCTTAGACCAACTTTACCATATAAAACTCTACTTATTTAGAATTACTGCATTTTTTCCCAGTTTTCCCCAATTTAGTCATGGCCAATTCACTAGCTAGGTCTCCCCCTATCACAAAATGCTACTGAGCTAGGAGGGTGAAGACTAGCACTTGCCTCCAAGACAAGCGAAGCACCACCACATCTTTTCAAACTGCTGCTAACACAGCTCAGCATGCTTGTAGGAGAACACTAACTGCCAATTCTGTTTCATCAACTAACAGATGTCTGCGTGGGCTAGCACTGTGCTAAGTGATGGGAGGAGAGGGAGGGCCGTCCTACCCACCCAGAGTGATCTGCTCTCTTAAACTACTTGCCAAAGATAGCTGTGGCATCGCCGGGAACTGACTTCTCAATCCCCCAATGGTTAGATGGTTGCCCCCCCCACCGGTAGCCCTGCACTTCTAACATTATTCTAGATGAGTAGCATCCGCCCTCAACACTACTTTAACTTTATAAACATATCAAACATCACCTGCTAATTTCCAGAGCAACCCCATTTACATATAAGAAAGCAACACTTTAATGAGAGGCCTAATTACCTGCTCATTAAAACCCACATCTGCATTACAGTGCATTAATGAAAGCTTAAGAAGTTATGTTAATAAAGCTTGTACCAAACAACAGACCTTAGATTTTACCAGCAATTGTTCTTTTATAGAATTCTTTGCTTTTAATGATTTAATGATTGCATGTTTGTTACTGCTTTGTCTTATAATGCTTAAATAGATTCCACTTGTACTGCACTTTCAGTTGTAATAAAAGCGAATAAAAGTAATTGTTGTTATTATGAAATCCGCTGTGAGAAGCAGACCACAGTCGCAGGTGAGCTGGAATGAGAGACATGACAGGTGTTAGATGGATGTTAGATGAACATTAGCTGTAGAGTAAATGAATGTTAGATTAATGTTATGTGCTGTTATAATGTGGGGTGTCTTGTCAAGATGGTATAATTAACCGTATCTGTGATACAGGTCATTAAACATAACACAAAAGAGCGCGCACACACACACAAACACACACACACACACACACACATTCACACTAAACATAATGGTGTAATTATAAAAACAAAGTACCCAAAGCAATTCCCTCTTTTCCCCCCTCGTTCATTAACACACACACATTAAGGTGTTGGTTGCATATTGAAGCCAGTGAATAGCTCATAACACAAAGGACTCATTTTTTATGGTGGCATTTCCACCGGGTACCCTGCACTAGACCTGCTCAGTCAAACAGACGGCTGGTGTTCGAGGTGTGCTAAATCACTACCCTGTTTGAGTAGCGTGTGGCGTGTGAGAAAGAGAGAGAAAGAGAAGGTCCACCCATACATTCTACGTTGGGGGGAGGGAGTGACACACAGGCATCTGGGATTGATTGGCACAGTCTACTCGAACCATGTTGCCGTGGAGACAGCCGTGCTGAGAGATGAGTGTGTGAAGAGTTAGGGCATTAAACCAGGCCCATTAACAAAAGCCAAGAGCAAATACACAAGAGCGTTATGAATGTAACCACCGTTATATTTGTAACCCCTGCTCTATTTCAGTTCTTCTACCTGCCAGAGGCAGCATGAGGCACAGTGTGTGAATACGAACCACGTTATGAGGAATGGGACTCGCCAAGGGTGAAGCTGAGTTAGCCCCAGGTAGCACCACCGAGCTCAAGCATGGCGATGCTGCTGAACCAGAAGAATGCCAGAGGTTGAACTAGTACCTATACAGACTGCCAGCGAAACACTCTTCATCACTAGCCAGGATGTGGGTTCTCTCCAGGCAGTGGCAAGACGCAAATATTGGCTATTGGATGGACCTGCAGGCTGTAGAGATTACCTCCACCACCCCTCGGTTCTGACAGAGAAGCCCCATAATTATTTTCTCCAAAGAAGACCAACAACTGGTCTGCCTGATGAAAGCCAGCAGGGATGTCCACATAATACTGCAAAGGCCAAAGTAGTCACAACAGTGAGCCACAAGCCTTGGTGAAGGAGGTCAGCTCAATGTGCAGATTCACAAGATAAGGGGCTAAGACCTTATAAAGGAACAATGGATTGGGCCACAGTGTAACACTGCAGCCATCCAGAGAAAACTACCAGCACTGCAGGTTCACAGGAGGCAACTGACAGCAAGAAACCAAAGACTCATGGACAGCCAATGCAAATCCCATGTCGACATCTAGGCGAGTGCAAAAGGAGCAGGTGCTGTAAGCCCTTAAGAAAGTTGCCAATCAAATGATGTGCAGCAAGGGACAACCCAAAAATTCCCATGACCATTTATTTAGCAGATGCTCTTATCCAGAGCAACTTAGAAAAGTGCTTTCTTGTCCACTCAGAGAATGTACCCTTGCTAATAAGTGTCCAAACAACCCTTTAGCTAAAACACGGCCAGAAACAAGAGTCAGTGCCGATACCTAGAAAGAGTGATACAAAACACAGAAATAAGACAGTAAAAGTGCAATGAACGCTAGAGTAGTGTTCATCTGAATGCTTCAAAAAGAGATGGGTCTTCAGCTGAAGTTTGAAGATGGTGAGGGCGTTCCACCATCTAGGTGCCAGGACAGAGAAGAGTCTTTGTGCTTGTCTTCCATGTGTCTTGAAGGATGGTGGATGTAGTCAAACTATACTTGAAGCTTGAAGGGCATGAGATATGGACCACTGCCAGGGAGGGGCTGGTCCATTTTTGTGGGCAAACATCAAGGTTTTAATCCCCACCCCCAATTTTCTTCCCAGTTTAGTCGTACCCAATTTCACCCAGTAGTTAATCTCCCGCAATCACACAATACCACCAGTGCTAGGAGGGCAAAGGTTAGCAGAGGCTTCTTCCGAGACCTGTGAAGAGGCACCGCATCTTTTTGAACTGCCGCTAACGCAACGCCATTGGACAGCCGAATGCGCTCGGAGGAAAGCGCCAACCATCAGATGTGTTACGTCAGCTAATAGATCCCTGCACTGACCAGCATCGTGCTGAGTGATGGGGGTCGAAGGGCAGCCATCCTACCCACCCAGAGAGCGAGGCCAATTGTGCTCTCTTGGACTCTCGGCCACGG